ATTTTTAAGTTAGGGATATGGTTGTGAATGTATAATTTTTGTGTATTAAACAATAAAATTATTATATTAAGTTGTGAACTTTTTGTACTAAATTATGAATTGACTGTTTTAAGCTGTGAATTTTTAATGAATTTTGTGTTAAAATATAAATGCTTTATGTAAGTATGTTTATATTGATTTTCTTATGAATATATTTATTTTTTGTGTTGTGTAAATATGTAAAAATGTATTAGTTTTTATCAGTGTTATAAAAATCCCAATAAGGTCCCGATTAATCCCTAGGCGCTACTCGGCCGATTAGAGGGCACCTAGCGATCAATCCCTACATACACAATTACTGAAACAGTAGAACCCGATGAAATTTTAACACTTTGAAGAAGTTATATCTCAACAGAAACTATTTGAGGTATGATTAGTGTTGTATTTATCATATTAACATATTTTATTATGATATTAGTGGTGTTTACGAACTTTTATACGATATTAGTCATATTTAATTTTTTCAAATCTATCAAATTAGCAATTAATGGTCCCCGATTAATCCCCGCCTAGCCGATTAATCCCTTAACCTCAGTCCACCGACTAGCTAACGTCGAGCGATTTTTACAACATTGGTTTTTATAATTATTTTGCATTAAACTCAAAATTAGTGAATTATATGGTTTATTAAAGTGTAAATATAATATTTAAGCTGTGAATCTATGATCTTATATATATGATTTTATATACAGATCTGATTTAGAATGAATATGTATGCGACAGTGGCACAGTTGGTTGTTGGTGGCATGTGGTAGTTGGTGATGTCAAAGTTTTCATTTAACTTATCTGAATATGTATATTCGTGTATAATGAATTGTATTAATTTATGAATTTTATGTATTAAACTGAGAATGGATTGTATTAAAGTGTGTATTTGTTGGTTAAAGCCAACAAACCTGGACCAGATTTCAAGTCGATTTCAACAAACAACAAAATAACAACGCAACATACAACACAATAACGAAATCATACATGCTAACTATATTACATAAGACAAAGAACCCGGATTTGAAGTCGATTTGAAGTTGACGAAGTGTTTGACACCGATTTTACTCCCCAATTCGACAAACCTTTCCCTCCTTAACGTAAAAAAACCGTGTTTTACATAAACGAATTTAGTGTTGGTTTAAAGATTGGTCGATCTACGGAAGGGTAATCCACGTCGACTTGTGAGAACGTGTAACCTAAGGTTACCGGATAAAGTAGGTTTTTTAAACGGTTTTGGAAATATTAATGGTTAATTTGTACAAAAAAATTATATAGGAGTTTTTTAAGCATTGAGACATAATACATAGGGTTTTTCTGAGTTTTTCCCATATATATAGAGATATATATATATATATATATATATATATATATATATATATATATAGTTTTGTATTTGTACATTTATACATCTATACATATCAATTCGTACATAATACATGAAGAATACGAAAAATAATAGGTATTTGATGCATGAACAATACTAAAAAAACATTTTTAATACACAAATAATACAAAATATACATATTTATACAATATATATTAAAATTGTGTATTTGGTGTGAATTTTTATGCATAAAAATACATTTATACATAAAAATGTTTACACTTGAATAATATGAAAATAATACGTATCTAATAAATGAATACTACAAAGAAAAATATATTAATATGTATACATATAAATATATAAAAATATACAAAACAAAGACGTATTGTATAAACTACAATACATATTTGAGCATAAATGTCAGATTATATATTAAACGGAAGGAATAATAAATGAAAATAAGTAGCAGCTCAATGCAAAAGGCGTTAGGCACTTAAGATGGAGGCCGCTAGTTTGAATCCCAGCGCGTCCACATATCGTTTTCTTACTTTAAATTTTTCAGACTAAAAAAGCACGCTACATGGCGTAAGAGTCTCACTCAGCGCCGACATGGCGTGTCGGCGCACCTCTTTGTAAGGTGATGACCGGGTTACCCCCAAAATGTCCAAAAATGAAAAATTTTATCCAGGCATAAATGAACATTAACCCAAACAATTCTGTATAGAGACATTTTCTATAAAATTTGTAAATTTTGTTTCTATTTAATAGAATTTCTGGCTCCCGCAATGATTATCGGTTCGAAAAGTGGTTGTGAAAGAATCTGTCGTTATATATATATATATATATATAATATATATATATATAATATATATATATATATAGATATATATATATATATATATATATATCTTTTTATTCATGTAAAGACTTATTGCATTACAGATAGATTAAATCCAAAAATCTTTGACTTCCTCATCATAGTAAATATTCGTTCGGTTTATTGTTTCCCAGCCATCAAACATGAGATTTATTTCTAAGGCATGTTCAAAACAATTACATCATTATGCAGAGAACATTATCACATTAATGAGTTCATATATTATTTAAAAGGTATGCTATCAACTTTCATATAGTTTTATTGATCTTATTTTATTAATATTTATTTTTCTGCTTATATTATATTTTTTATGTATTACAAACAACATACGAATATATTATTTGTTATAAAATAAGTTAAATAGCGATGAATGTTTTATTTAATATGATCTTAAACTTTGAATCGAAAACACAAATTGAATTTTTAAACCAATGTTTCTTTTGCATAATTTCACTGTTATTGAAAAAATCACGAGTTAGTTTCTGTTTAGGATTAGTTCTACAGGTTTACGTCATCATTTTTAATAATTGTTTTTGGATAATTTATAAATTTATATATTGATATCTTGCACATATTTATAATTATAAATTATTTTCCTTTTTCAGTCTTAATAATCTTTTTATAACTTTCAAAACTTCAACTATATATATTTTTATTTTTTAAAAAATAAAATATTTTGTGATTCTGTTTTTTAAAACGGCGGCATTAACAAAAAAAACTAACAAAAGCTAGGAATTACATATGAAGAGTTTGGAAAAAAAAAAAAAAGGACATTTCACCCACTCTAACCAATTAACACAAAACGTAGGATTTCTAGCTCTAATCCAGAAGAACGATTGAGACGGAATAGAATCTCAAATTAAAGACTTAATACGCTTGCATTTGCTAAAAAACAACTTATTCCGAAAAGACCAAATTAACCAAAACATGGTCAAACAAGCAGCATTCAAACATTTTTTAACATTGTCGGTAAGACGCACTTGATCAATCCAAACAACCCAATCTAAAATAGAGCTAAAGACTGGAATGTCCAATTCCCACCAAGTCGCAAAAAGGTTCCACAAATCCACCGCCATGCCACGAGAAAAGAATATATGATTGACTGTCTCCACATTAAGATCACATATAGGACACCTAACAGAGCCAATATCAATACATCTCCTATCCAAATTGACTCTAGTAGGGATTTTGATCAAATTCATCCTCCAAAAGAACACATTCACCTTGAAAGGGAGAATCCGATTCCACCTGGTATGGTTGATACCAACCTCCAATAATTTGGAATCAATAAGAGACCTAGCAGAAGCGAAAAATCTCGTTGAAGCATCAATGGACCAAGTCCATGTATCCTGATCAGAATTAAGTGATCAGAATTAAGTCTAACCAGGTTAATAACCTTCCGTAAACCTGAAAATTGGAGGGTCTCCACACCTCCTCTCGGAGGTCTTCTAAAAACCAAGAACCAATCCAAAAGACGCAACCGATCATAGACTTTACACATCTTATCATCATCTAACAAGTAAATGCGAGGAAATTGCACTTTAAGACTTTGACACCAGACGTCGTCCCAAAAAATTAGTATTAGCACCAACACCCACCTTTCAAATGCACAAAGAGAGCAAATCAATTCCTTTCTCTTTGAGATTTTTAGTAGAATTCAGAATTGCAATCCTTCAACGTAGATCTAGGCATCCCCCTTCTCCCGATAAAACCATCAACCCCATAAATATTAGAGATAACATTTGCCCATAAACAGGCAGGATACAGTCGGAACCTCCAAATCCATTTAAATAAAGGAGATCTATTCAAAGCAAAAATACTTCCAATACCCAAGCCTCCAAGCTCTTTATTAGCCATACACTTATTCCATGCATCCAAGTCATTTTTTATCATTCAAATCACCACCAATAAAAAAAACTATTCCTCATCGATTCCAAGTCTCTCAACAGCCCTCGGAATTTTATAAAGCGACATGTAATAAGTAGGTAAATTTCCAAGAACTGCCTTAATCAGAGTCAATCTACCACCAATTAGAAAGCTTATACTTGAATTTGTCAATAACACCTTTCCAATTAGAAATATGAGACATATTGCAACCTACAGGAACACCAAGATACGAAAAAGGCAAAGAAGAAACCCCGCAACCAATAACCTGCGTCATCAAAGTCACGTCCAAATCAGAGACCCCAATACCAAGAATCTTACTCTTTTGGACATTTATTTTAAGACTAGAAGAGATAAAGTAAAAAATAAAATAAAATAAACATCAGTTAGTTTGCCGTTGGTCTAGCAGTAAGGAGTGACTCTCTCATATGAGAGGTCATGGGTTCAAGTCTTAGTGGAGACATAGGTGGTTATTTAGGACTAGATTAGTTAGTTTGCTGTTAAAAAAAACATCTCAGAAGACAAATCAAATTATTAGTATTTTGGAGCAACCATTCTCGTATGAAGATGGCATCATCAACATACATCAAATAAGAGAGAGTAAGGCCACAAGAACCAACAGGGGCACCTCTTGACGGAGGCCCCTACAAATTTCGAATTCATCGGTAGGAGAGCCGTTAGTTAAGATAGAAGTCCGAGCATTCATAAGGCAACCTTCAATCCATTTTCTCCATTTACACCCAAACCCCAAATGATATGACAGATTGCTCACCATTAACACACCCACCAATAACTTAACCGATTAGCTAACAGCTTACCAATAATTTTGTATTGGCAGCCCATTAAGCGATTAAGCTAATAGGCCGAAATTGCCAGTTTCCCAAATTAATCTTCCATTGAGATCAAAACCTTCTGTTTATGCCCTAATCTTTGAAAGACCGGAGTTCTCTTCTTGCCCTGCACCGTCTTCCATTCATCTTTTGCCATTCACCAAAAATAAATAAATAAATAAATAAAATAAAATCACAGAGCCACCGCCAGCATTTGATCCTGCCGGAAGGGTGGATCCTGCTAAAAAATTTATAACCCAGCGGATCGGATATTGACCATCAACAACTTATTAAAAAAAAAAAAGAGAATAATTTGTGATTATTTCCGTTCCCTTCAATTTGATTCCACATCAGAATGAGAATGCTATAATAAACAAATAAAAGAAATACATTACCATTTAATTGCAAAAAGCCAACATTTCTGAGACAAAGTCTAGAATCACTCAAAAATCATGCCAAAATTTTTGAAAATAAATATAGCATTTATACAACATAAAGAGACATAAGAAGTAAATTATACACATTTTCAAGGGAATCATGATCCCATGAAGAAAAGAAACAGCTTTGAAAATAACAAAAAATAGTAGTCACTCCAAGATATGTGGAGTTTTTTTTTTTCTCATGGGGTCAGGAAACTTTATCCTACAACCGCAACATAATTTAATCCTACAACTTGTGATTTTTAAGTGGTTGTGTTGTGTTGTGTTAGATGATTGCTAAATTCTTCATTGCATCTAACTTTTCTATTTTACCATTTGATATTCCCCCGTTTTCTTCAGCTTTAGAAGCAGCAGCATTTGTTTGAGTGGAGCACAGGCTCCCTTCAAAGTAGGTTGAGTATGGAAATTCTTCTCCACATCGCTTTTTCCATCCTACAAAAGAAATAGCAACATACTTCTATTATTATAGCATTCTACTTTTTTTTTTTGTTATTAGGACTTGTATTTTTGAAAAAGCCACTCAATTATAGGATTGTACTTTCAAACTTTTTCTTATTTGGGCGTTGAAAAATTCAATGAAAGTATGTTTGCTAATTCTTGCATTTAAATGATAAAATATTTAAGGAAAAAGCAAAAAAAAAAAAAAAAAAAAAAAGGCTTACTCAGAGCAGCATCCCGATCATCAAAAGTAGAGACCAAAATCTTGTGAACTGCAACACAGTCTTTGAGCTTCCATTCTTTCATGGATCCAAGTGATCCGTTACTAATTCAGGGGCAAAACAGACATTTAAGCATGTGTAACCCTGATTTTATTTAATGTAGGGTAGGGTGGGGTTACCTTGAAATGGGGGAGTTATTGAGTGATTCTTGGATCAAAGTGATTGCTTCTGCCTTTTTGTTTGGTTCTAAACAATATATCATTTCAGCTACAGCTGCTCTGTGCATCAATGAATCTACAAAATCACCAACAAACCAACTCTCTTAAATAAAAAAGAAAAAGACAAGCATTTATTATTTAATAATATATATTACTTTAAAGAAACAGGTGTGAGCAGGATTTTTTTGTAACAAATGTTACCTTTATGTTGCTCAAAGAAAACAGTGTTTGCCTCCATTAGAGATTTACCATGCAGCTGACTAGAAAAAAGAAAAAGACAAAATACTTAATAATAATAATAACAAATGACTTGTAGAAACAAGGACAAAGGAGCATGAATTATAAAAAAAATTACCTGAAACTTGGTCTTTCTGCTTCTAATACACCAGAAATAAGTTTTTCAGAATCAGTTGTAGGAACAGGCCTTGATGCCACTTTATGGAAGAATCTTATCTGTGAAAGTGAAACCCACAATTAAAATTATAATTTTATTGAATAAAATCTAAAACTTTATGATGCAAAATAAAATATGACACATACCAAGCAGCGATGAGAGTCTGGATTTTCAGCATCTAGTTGTACCAAGTGCTTCAAAGCCTTCACAAAATAGAAAAGTCATTAAAAATTTAGGATTTAAATCCTAATAATATAATATAGTATCACAATTCACAAATATTAGTATATTATATTATTACCTGTAGGGCAAGCAAAATCTTTTGCTTTCTGATATTAACTTCAAAAGAAAGCAGATGTGTCTCCAAGTGATCAGGTGAATGCTTCTGAAGAAGTTTCAGATACTTTCCAGCTTCCATTAAAGGATCTTCAACCTAGTTCATATACAAAACGTAATATCAATATACATATATATAATATTTTAATATGAATGAATAAATGATATTAGTAAAAACCTGCAATAATTTCTCTCCATTTGGATCCGGATCAACCGTCTTAACATTTCTTTTCCCATATTTGGAAACACCAACATTAGCTCCTCATTCTTCATTCCGCCTCCTGAACACAACCATTAAACATATAATATATATATATAGATATTATATAGATATATATATATAATATATATATATATATGGTGTGTCATGCACAAGGGCAAAACCGTAAAATCACATGAAACAAAATATACCTTTTTTGCCCTTGCTTCAGCCTTCCTCTGTTTTTGCCTCAGTTTCTTCTTTTGTGAAGCAGGCATTTTTGCCAGCTCATCATCTTCTTCGGTTGATGATGTTGGAGGAGAATCATACAACTTGATATAACATCTGTATAACAACATTAACTAAAAAACTTAGGAACAAGAAATTATAATATAAATAAAAAAATAAAAAAAAGGTTTGATTGACCTTATAGCTCCAGCAGCTGCCTTGCGAAAATAAGCATGAGCATGAAGACGATCTTGGAATCTTAACATTTCAATATAAGCACGAAGAGTCATTTTTCTTAAACAATAAGAATGGAAATCAAATTGGTCTTCTGTTATATCTGCATAATGTTTCTCAACACCCAAAAACTTTTTTAATGCACGTCCAACCTCATTTTGCCTCAAATAACTTTCTCCAGAAGCAAGTTCATACCTTTTTATTAAAAAAAATATATATCAATACATTTTATTAGAAAGGTAAAAGATATAAATTCCAGCATAAAGTTTGTAACAAGGACTAACCACATGCACTGCATGTCATGAAGATTATTATGTTGATCACCATCTTTTGTGAAGAGTACAGCCGTCTTTTCCGCAAGTGAAACCTGTGAAAACATCATGTCAAAAGTTAGAAAAAACAAATAACTAAATAACTAAATAAAATATATTTGGATTTTGGACCTGATCAGCCTGAAGCATTCTTTTAACACATTGACTATTTACATAACGATCTGCAAGATCCATGCATCTAGCTTCATCTGCCAATGCAGCTGCTGCTGCAAAGTCTCCAGCATGCTTTAGTATCTTGGCTCTGTACAAAAATATATTAAAATAAAATGTCAATAGTCATTATAATTCATTAAAACTTTTTCTCTCACAATGAATCTGTTTCATTAAGCAGACCTTGACAGAGTATAAATCAATAACAGTTGGAGTATGTTGCATGGCTTCCTCGATTTTCACAAGTGCCACATCATACTGACCCCGTCTGTCATAATGCTGCATTACAACCACATAAGAATAAGAATATGAAATTTTATAAAAGTTTATACAGAATTATAGTAGAAACAAACCTGAGCCAAATAAAATAATGTCCACATAAGCGTTGAAGGTGGCTCTTTTTCTGACTTTCCAGGGTATCCACCTGTCTTTTTAAGTGATTCTTCCAAACCAAGCACCAATTTTTCAAGAATATTAGCCTGTAAAAAAGGTGAATAATATATGTCAGAAATAATAATGCAAGAAAGTATTAAAACGTTTAATTAGGCACAAACCTTGCCAGGATGATCATACAGAGGAGAAAGATCAGAAAACAGTGATGGGACTCCCTGCATTTGTCATTGATACAAGTATAAATTTAAATAAAAAAGGAAAGATCATAATTCATAAATGGAAAATAGATCTTAAAAAGAAGCAAAGTATGAGTGTACCTTTGTTAAGAGAGGCCTGATATAACTATCTGCTGCATCACGAAACTTTTCAGCAACAAGAAAATCTAGTGGGATCCTCTAAAAGAAAATGTTGTGAGTTAGATAATCTAATTGGCATAAAAAATAGAGATATTATAAATTTTTTAATCACCTTAACAGCAGAAGACCAGGTGTATTGTTCCCCAAGAGATTTATAGAGAGCATCCAACTTATCTATTTCATCAGAGGAATATTGACCAGTCTTCGAGTGTAGCCCAACACATTTTTGTAATCCTTCATAGTATCTGAATAAAAAAGGATCAATTAATTTTGGATTTTTACAAATTTTATGAAGTAAGAGGAATATTGGAGTCTACTTGTAGTTGTCAGGATTCATTGCAAGCAGCACCCTGTACAACTTTTCACCTTCCTCAAAAGAATTAAGCTTCACAAGGAGAGAAACCTCCTCTTCCTTGTAGGATAATCTATCAACCTATTATAAGTTATAACAAAGAATCTATTGTTATCAAATGAAGCCAAGTATTCATGTCTTACAAAGTAAGTTGTAAGTATAAAAATAAACTTACAATCTTGAACTCTTTTTTTCGCAACTCCTTTAGAGCTTTCTCTAGAAGCCCACATTCCTCCAATAAAGATATCTGGACAATAGAAAATTATAAGAAGATAAGTAAGGCTCATTTTTATGAAGGTTTTATGCAGATTGCATTATTATTTATCACAAATATTACCTTGTATAACAGCATTTCCCCATGCTCACAACGTTCGTTTTCTGGAGGATAATCATCCTCAAGAGTTCCTTCATATGCTTCCAGGATATCAATTGCTTTCGATGCACTTGTAAAACACCCATAAAGAAGTTATAAAATTTACACTTTATTAATAAAATGAAAAGTTATAATACAATGTTACTTACAATCTTTTAGAACTCACAATTTAATAATCAAAAGAGAGGTAATATTCATAGAACCAACTTATAGATGTGAATCTATGCATAGTTGGTTTACATTAAAATGCCTCTTTGAGCACTGTGGTGTAAATACTAATAATAATAGCAAAAGTTGGAATAAAAAAATAAACGCCATGTACTAAGTGTAAGATAACAAGAATGCATACATAATATTTACAGAATGATTCTGAAATTATCCATAAAAACAGAGACAGACACAGGGCACAAACAAGAAACTTTTACAGGCATACAAAGATCTTATAAATAATAAAAAGATCACAAAAGTAACATTTTAATACATTATTTTTTTGAAAAAAGACAAACGCCCACAACTTACTTTGAGTTTAAATGATGAGAAACAGCAAAACCAATCCAATTCATCCGATGATTAGGTTTCAAAGTCAGCAATTGCTGTCTAGTTTCAACAAAACCTGCCAAATCACGCATTTGTGCCTAAAATCGAGTGGGAAAAGGCACCATTACACAATTGTATCAGTGAAAATCTTACATAGATAATAACTCCTTTTATTGTAAAGATATATATATATTATATTATAGATACCTGTAAAAGTGATAGGTCTCTAAGTATTTCAATGTTGTCAGGATCTATCCTCAGAGCATTCCTATAACATTTTATTGCCTCTCTGTACTCTCTGTCTGACCGATACAGAAGACCATAGACATGCCAACAAACATGGCTTTTCAAATCATTCTACAATTGAGTAAGTGAATAAACATTATGACAATGTAAATGATATAAAAAAATAATTTCAAATAAAAATACTCAAAAGTTAAATTTAGAAGTTATCCAACCTTCAATCCCAGTCTTACAAGCTCATATGCTTCTGGCTTTCGGTCCATGCAGTTCAATGTTAATCCCTTCATTGAAAGAGTTTCTATTGACAAGAAAAGTAATAAAGATGAGAAGCAATTTAGAGGTCAGAGTATTATTCAATAATGAACACAGCTCACAAACCTCCATGATCTGGGAACTTCTTCAAGATAGCATCTGCAGCCTTCAGCCCCTTTTTATACTGTTTTGTTTCATATGATTTCTGACAAAGAGACAATCAACAGAGCATGCATCATTTCCCCAGTAAACAACTCAATACATAGTGGTTAACACTTGTGATAGGATCAAAGATTGTCCTAAATAATATCAAGATGAATTTGTATAACCTAGAACTACACGCAGTTTATTTATTGAGCTTAAATTAAGGGTTGAGATAAGGTGTAGGGAAATCAATATGGTTTTAAACAAGAGAGATCATCAAAAATTAGACAGCTTATGAGAAGACAAAGGGTGCATGAAACCGACATCAACATATCTTTAATGATGTAGAAAAGATGCAGGATATTGTGCATTCAGGCTTCTTTTTTGTAGAAATGCTTTCAGTTAGATTAGTTTTGTACTTGATCAATATAGGTCAAGGGCACATCAAAAAAGTCAATAGCTAATTAGTCTCACCAAGAGTCTAATGTCCTTAGACAAAAAATTAAACAATGATAAGAGAGGAAGAGGTCTGAAAACTTAAAACAGGAAAAGTATTGGAGGGATATTTGAGGGCATTGAACATCCAATGAGTTGATGTTATATAGAAGTACATGATGTTCTCATTGACATTAAACAATTAGGGTTCACTTCTTAGTGTTTTCTTTTTGAGTTCTACTGTTTTAGATTTCTTCTATGGTCATTTTTAACCAACCCCTAACTAGTTTGGGAGAAAAGGCTTGTTCTGTACTATGCATTCAGATTTTGAGGTTTGGTAGTGCTTCTGAAACGAAACCACTAGTCCAGTTAGCTAGCTGCACAATAAACTGTTTCCAGTAAATTGTAAGAAACTTCACCACGCTGACTCCAGCTGTTACATAATCTTTGCGGATAAACTATAGCATCTGATCCCAACTCAGTCGTATTTCACTGGACTTCCAAGTGACATTAACCTTAAGTTTTCATCGACAAAAAAGTAAAAAAATTTCCACAATTCATTCAATGTGATAAACCAAAACACCTTAGTAATCAATGAAACCAACATCCAGCCATTCTCCTGAACCCAAAGCTAATCAAGATTACAGAAAAATCGTATGTTTACGTTAATTCGAGACACATACTTAAGAATTTACAATTTACGATCCAAAATCTTCACAATACAAGACTAACTAGTCAACAATACAATTTCTTTCATGCACATAAAGATAACTAGGGTTTTAAATAGTGGGGAGGAAGATATTACGAATTGGCAAAGTTATTAAACTCATTAAGATTGTAGAGCTTACGACGATGAGCTTGAAGAGGTTGGCCTCTTTAGGAGGAAGCGAAGCGCCCATTGTTTGTGTTGCAGATTAGACGATTTGTAGAGAGAGAAAGTATGTATAGAGAATGAGAGTAGAGAGAGATTTGATAGTTTTTGAGGGTTTATAAGGCGACGTGTGATGTGAAAGAGATGGGGTGAAAGGGGTGACTGGTGGCGTTTATCTTCTGCAACCCTACTCACAAAAGAAAATTAAGGGAGCGGAGGTGCAAAGGGTGCGTTTATAATTTCCACTTCTTAAAGGGTGTATTCGTAAGTTCCATTTCTTAAAGAGTGTGTTTGTAATTTCTATTTCTTAAAAATATATATATTACAGTAAAATATTTAATTAAGTGTATCAAATATTTTAGACTATTGGATTTACCGATTTATTCAAGCACCAAAACAAACTTAAGATGGACACTACCGTGCATATGAAGCTTGGGAATCAGCTTCGGGGAGAGCATTCTCGTCGGGAACACGAGCCCATCGGCTATAAACTTAAAGGCATGTTTGGTACGGAGCGTTTGATAGTTTCTAGCTTCCAGCGTTTGACAAAACGCTCCGTTTTGAACAGAAGTCTCGTTTGGCACTACAAATTAGGGGTGAGCAAAAACCGCACCGCAACTAAAATTAACCGTAAAAACCGCAGCCGCAATAAAAACCGATTGTGAGGTTTTCTGTTTTTCAAAAACCGCAAATTTGCGGTGCGGTGCGGTTATTAGTTTTCAAAAACCGCAAAAAAACCGCACCGCACCACATATATTATATACAACTTTTTTTATTAATTATTAATATATTAAATATTAAAAATAAGACAAGTTTCATGAATGAAAGATGAATAAAATACTAGAAGACAAAAGTATGGTTTTTTGTTATGTTTAACTTTGAAAAATGGTGAAATTAGACAACTTTAAGAAATTTATTGTTAATTACTATTGATTTGACGTTTTTAAGATATTAATTGTTTGTGATTTAAGTTAATTGTCTTATACATTATAGTTTTTTATTATTACAAGTAATATGTTTGAACTCTTAAAACCGTTTGAGCTCTAAACTGTGGTTAAAAACCACACAAAATAACCGCACCAAATCCATGCGGTTAATAACCACAACACAGAAAAAACAAAACCGCACCGTAAAAATAACCGCACTAAGCGGTTTTGAAAATGGATTAACCGCATTTGCGGTTAGTGGTGAGGTTTTGGCTAATAACCGCACCGCGCTCACCCCTACTACAAATAATCACAGTTTGTGTCTAACTAATATGTGTGTAGCACTGCGTTTTCAACTTTATCTAATACGTGTAACACTCTCGTTAATGGCAACAGTTGATCAAGCTACATTACTTCTTCTTTTTTTAAGATATTGTAAGTTCAAGCGGGCCAATAAATAGAAGAACCCATGTTCACAAAGACCGTGAAGCTACACATGATTGTCTAATGAATTATTACTTCATTGCAAATCATGTATTTGGTGTTGAGGCATTCAGAAGAAGGTTCCATATGCGAAGAGAATTATTCATATGAATAGTGATGATATCATAACACATGAAATGTTGTTTAGATTAACCCGTGATTCTATGATCTATTGATCTTAAGAAGTTTTACTTCGTTACATAAGTGAACATATACAATGTGTCAATTAACATATAGGACAATTGACGGCGTGCATGATGAGTACTTGAATATATCTGAAAGAACTTCATGTGAAATTATATAATACTGTTGTGAAAATATTATTCAACTGTATGGAAAAAAATATTTGTGTAAAACCAACTTTGCGTAACATACAACTTTTATATGTCGTACATGAATCCAAACATAGATTTTCTGAAAATGTTAGGTAGTATTGATTTCATACATTCGGTATGGAGGAATTGTCCAATGGCATGGTTAGGTCAATACATCAGAGGTGATTACGAGCATCTAAGGATTATGCTTGAAGTTTTTGCCTTGCAAGATTTACGGATTTGACATGCATTCTTTGGATTCATCAGTTCCAACAACAATATCAACATTCTCCATCAATCGTCATTATTCGAGAAATAAGTATATAAACCACACCCAAATGTGTATTTCATGTTAATGGAGTACAATACAAGCGTAAGTATTATCTTGCTGATGAGACATAACCCCTTTTGGTTACTTTTGTGAAAACATATACCTATCCAAGTGGTGAAAAATGAAACAAGTTCAAGGTAACACAAATAAATCAACAAGAAAGGACATTAAACGGGTTTTTTGGCATACTAAAAATTTGTTAGGGTATACTTACATTCCCAACACATGTTGCTTCCAAGAAAAATTAGGAAAATGATGTACATTTGCATTAATTTTACACAATATATTTTTAGAATATAAAGATGCAACACTATGTCATGATCACATGATTGACCCTCCAACCTATCAGGAAGTAAATAAATATATTCTTAGGAATTGGGTTACCAACAAACCCACCACAACATTCGATCAAATCTTATGAAACATATTGCAACTGCCTACATTCCAAACCTTGACAACTAAATTTATTTTTTCTTTTATTTTTCTTATTAAATTATGTCTTTTCTGTTATTTACCATGTATTTTGTTTTAAATAAATGTTGTTTTAATTTATTATTTTATGTTTTTTGAATTAATATCATGTATTTTTAATTGGTTTTTGTTTGTTTTAAATATTTTTATTTAAAATATAGTTTAGGGATGGATAAATGACAATTTCTATAGGCGTGTTCGACAAAAATAGTTGCTAGCGGGTAGCTTCTAGCTAGTAGCATTTTGTTAAACGCAACGTGAAGTAGCATTTATATTTGAAATGTTTTGTTTAAAACTAAACGCTAGAAGCTTGTAGTGTCAAACGAGACTTTCTGTTCAAAACGGAGCGTTTTGTCAAACGCTAGAAGCTAGAAGCTCTCAAACGTTCTGTGCCGAACACGTCCTATGTGTTTAAAAAAAATGGAAAGCATGAGAGTGAGTGTTAGAGAGAAAGAAGTTGATATAACGTTGATTTGGCTTAGGGAAAAGAAGGATAACATGGATAATGTAATAATCCGTATTTTTCATAAAATATTAACACAAGATTTCTGGAAAATATTAGAGTATTCTACATCATGTACAAAACCATAGTTTCAAAAATCTTTAAAAGTATTTACAAAAAATACATACGGGTGTAACAATCATATCCTAACCACAATTAAAACAACAATAAATAAAGCATGTGACAAAAATTCAATCCATGTTCTTGATGCTTTTAAGTCCACTCTCTCTAAGGCTTGCTACCTGAACCTGAAATACATGGAAACAATATATATCAGACAACAAGTCTAGTGAGTTATAAAATAATATAACATACATAAAACAATTTCTTATTTCACATATTTCCCATATCTAACTAGTCATATAGGTGGTCATGCATCTTTACTCTTATCAGTAAATAATTAACTGATATATGTTATTTCTACAGTTTCCAAGCAAAACTCTAGACAAACTTCTTTCTTGGGATCCCTATCTTTTATTCAATACATACATGTGCACATAGTATCATAACAACATAACATTCACACAATTTCATTTGGATAAAACATTAACATAACACATTTTATCCAACATGTCTCTATCTAACAAGGATGTAATCTACTTTCACATATTCATCTACACATACTTTAACATCAAATCTATCTAACATCATACTTTAAAGGAAAGTATAAGTCACATCTTTGAATACAATGAGAACCTACTTCCAAACCTTCTTCAAAGCTTCTTGTAAAGACTCCAACTCCTCCTTGCAACCACCTATGCCATTCACATATCAAGTCCCTTTAAACATGTCTTAAACCATTAAGAACATCATAGAGATTTTAGCTAAAAATCTTATACTTTTGGTAAAACTTCATATTGACAATCCTTTTCCAATAACCTTGCTAGACTACTCAAATTTGGCTTCGTAACACTTAATTCATAAAGTTCTTAACACATATAAACCATTTCATGATTTTCCAAAACTAGGGTTTCAAACCCTAACAATCACCACATGGATTCAAGCCTTGAAATCTTTATAAAAAATCATGTATTAACACTTGATTAAACATCAACAACAAGTTATCTAAGAGTAATATTGCACATCCAACTCAAACCCCAAAAACACAATCAAAGCTCTAAAAGATTGGTTAATGAAGAAGATGATACCTTTAGAAGTTTTTGATGTTCAATCGTTGCCACAAACACACTAGATCGCCACTTAATCTTTCCTCTTCCTCAAAATTGTCGGAGGTATGCTCTCAAAGTGATTAGGGGTGTTTTAGTTCGAGAATAAACCAAAACCGATGTTTATCTTGCTCTCAAAACCGCACTGCAACAAGCTCCTCACCACGTCGTGGTGTCTTTAAATGAGTCGTGGTATCTCCAGTTAGCATCACGATGGAAATCCATGGTAGCAACCTACTTTATCCATCACGTCGTGGTACCCATATACCACGCCGTGGTGCAAAGTACATTGCCCTCAACTTACGTAAAAAACTTACCTAAATCGCCACCTCAACTACCACGTCGTGACAAGCTAGCCACCGCGCCGCGGTAGAGCTGGAATCAGTTTTTCACATCTCTTTTAAAAGCACTTCTTCACCGATTTCTTACACCTATTAAATTTAACTCGTTCTCCATACATAATACCACATTTCCATTACTTCAAACATATAAGAAATACACAAAATGCATTTAGCATTCTACAATTCAAATATTGCCACAAGGACCAAATTGCCCTTAGACATAACATAACATCCTACAACACTTATACCATAAATTATAGGTTCTTACAGATAGATACCTACCACTTTTATGTTATGTTGAAATACAAGTTAAGGAGGTGTGGAGTATATACTCGCATATGGGTTGATTTGATTTGGACATGACAAATGTCATTATAAGAGGTTATGTCTCTTGTGGCGTCAACAGGTAACATACCCTTGCGGTACTACAAGTATAAGTCGTGAGGGATTACAAGTGCATTAAATTAGGGAAAAAAACTATTTTATTATATTCAAATATATATTAGGATTTATGGGTCGGTGGTTTATTTTAAAGAACAAAACTAACATAATTTTAGTTTATAGACTAATTGTTTTTGCTTAAACTTGAAGTTGACTTGAATTGAATTGTCATCTTGTAAATTTCATAGTAAACACTCAACAAAAAACCAAAATATTATTTAAGGAAAATGTCTTACATGATTATCGTTATAGTATGGTGTTCAAATTTATTCAACATGTTTAGGATGTATGTTTATGTTGCTACGTAGCATTCCAAATGTTTGATAGTTGGTTGGGAATGTCCTCTTCTAATGCACAAACATAAAGACATGTTGTAAAAGGTAGACAAAAGCTAGGTTATAAAGTGATATCGAGGGATGGCCGGTCCTAAGTATTTATCTATGATGCCTAAGTTAGGTGTCAATTAATAGTAATGTAAAATTGCTTAAGGCGAGAGAATTTTGGCCTCAATGATGTGTATTAAAGTTCTTATATACATGTAACATGGTACGAGTTCTTGCTTCTTTAACCAGGTTATGCGGTTGTCAGTAAGTTGTAAGGGTAGTACCCTTCAATTATAATAGTATTACATTTTTCGTGTTTCCTATGATGTTGTATGAGAATTTGTATAGGTGATTTTCTTGCCATAATTAATTGTTTTTCGGTTTGCCAGCTAGTTTGCATTCGATAAAGAAAGTCGGTCTGGAATGTTATGTTATGGGCTTACTGTGTTCAGATTGCTTTTGGTGATTTCGTATTGCCTTTATGTATGGGCTAACCCCATAGACCATTAGCTTACAAAGTAATAAGTACGACTTAATTCATATTCATAATCAAGTAATATGTATTTACAGTTAAAGATAGTTAGATAAATCTACTTTTATCTCAATAGTCAAAATTTTACATCAATTTCGTACTTAAAACTCCTATTTTGATCATTTTGACCCCATTTTTGTCTTTAAGTTAAAGAGTCGAAGTTTGTCGTGTTTTATAATTTTGACCCCAAGTTTGTATTCTTTGATTTTTTTTATAAAAAAATTAAGAACAATATAGATAAATTAAACGTGGAAATATGTCATGCTTTATAAAACTTTGTACCCGAGATAAATTAAACAGATAGTATATCAATTATTGAGGTGTGGATTCAATAAATAAAGTACATTGTTTAAACTCTCGCACACCTAAAATATTACGAGTGTTATGTGATATACTATCTGTTCAACATAGGCACTCAAGGAAGTGCAATTTACTCTTTATAACTTTATTTGTGTCGAAGAAGAAGAGAAAAAGAAAAAAAAATGAGATTTTCCGAATCATTAATGTATAAAATATGTTACCTCTTAACATTTCTTCCATCCGTAAATGTGTTGAACTAGTGGGGATATCACACGCATTGCGACGAGTTTATTAATCATATATTTTTGACATCATTTTGTAAAAAAATTATATATATACTTCTATATTTTCTTCTTACTTATCCTCCTACTCATATAAAATTATGACATGTTGATACCACTAAATTTTCTTTTAATTAAATTTTTTTTTGGTTTCTAGACTTGTGTGAGTAATATAATATTTAATTTCTATGTTTGTAATGTTCTCTTATGTTTTTACGATTTATGTAATTTTGTTATCACATGAGGAGCATTACTCATATACACTATTTAATTTCTATGTTTGTAATGTTCTCTTATGTTTTTACGATTTATGTAATTTTGTTATCACATGAGGAGCATTACTCATATACACATGGACCATTTATATAGTATCGCTACTGCACATACAACGTGGCTTTCTATAACATTGTTTTACACAAGGACCATTATTGTAATTGTATTTTATATAATTTTGCTATTACACCAAGGAGCATTACTTTAATGTTGTCATATTTATGGACCATTTATGTAATATCATATTACGCATGGACCATTTATATAAATATCGCTATTACATAGGACCTTTTTATTGTCTTAAACAAGGACCATTACTTTAATTGTATTTTATATAAAGACCATTACTTTAATTGTAGTTTATATGAAGACTTTTAAAATTTTGCTATTAGAAAGGAAGCATTTCTATAACTTTATCTTAGAGACCATTTTTATAACTTTATCATACTTAATAACCATTACATAAATGATTTTTTACCTAAGGATGATTTCTGTACTTTTTTTTTTTCCATATTTAAGACCATTAGATAGTTAGACAGGAGAAATGTAACTATGTCATACTTAAGGACGACCATATAATTTTTTTTACAGACATTATTTCTGTACCTTTATCATACTAAAACACCCTTATATGTATTTACAATTCTTTACAGCAAAATTAAATGAACAAATGTTTATTTCGGACGAAATGAAGTCTCGATAAAACAAACGGTTAAATATAGCATTTGGTTATAACTATAACAAAATTAAAAATGTCAATAATAATATGAACACTTAAATACTTGACTTAAAAAAATTATAAAATTCTAAAATAAAAAAATATATATTTGATAAACAATGATATAGATTGTTAAATACTTTTTTATATAGACAACTTCAAAAAAGGGGTTGATTTTATTATTGCAATTTTAACTGCCTAAAGAAGAGGTCAGACAACTGCATACCAATAACAAACCCAAACACCCAGCAAAACCAAAACATACGATGATGATTCAACCCCCCAAAAAAACACAACTCAGTCCTTAAAAAGTTGAGAAAAACAACTTACATGAGGAAACAAAAAAAAAAAAAAAAAATTACCAAAGACACTTCCAACAGAAAAGTACAAAAGTAAAAGAAAAAAAAAAAAAAAAAAGTTTTACTACACTTGACTTGACACAAAGCCACTGCACCATATCTCTTGTTCTTTAGTACTTTCCCATGAGAAGGAAGCCTTTCACAAAACAAAACAAAAGAAACAAAGCCACAATAAACCTGAAAATCCAAATATCACAATCATGTCAGTCGATTTAGAGTAAATTACATTTTTGGTCCCCAAGTATTGTAAGATGACAATTTTTGGTTTCAGAGTAGAGTTGATTTTTACAATTTGGTCCAAAAATAATAGTCATTTATTTCCCTTGGAACTAGGACCAAAAATGTTACAAAAACCTTAAATAATGGAAGAGAAAACTTTTGGGACAAAAAAATTGATCTACTTAAAAAAAAAATGGTAACAAACAATAATAGTAATACAATACCTCGCATCCAGAAAAAGTCCTGCCACCTGTCAGGCTGCATTCTTTTGCTATGAAGATGAAGCATGAGCAGGCGTTTCAAACACATACCTGACAATGTCACAACAAAAACATTACCAAGGTAAAAATATGGGATTATGACTTATAAAATAACAATGTACTTTCATTTATTTGTTTATCATATTCATATCATAGCATCCTAGTTTCATTTAAATCATTGTAGTTTGAAAAATATTATTCATTTATAGCAAGCAATTCTTACTGCTATAATTGAGTATTTGTCATAATGAGAAAAAGATCAAACACAAACACACATGAAAGAAGTTATTCATTTTTCAATTTTCATAGAAAAAATAAAAATTAAAAAAGGGTGAGGGTGAGTACCTTAAATAATTGGGAAATACAGCAGCTGCCCAAATTGGAGATCACAAGATGGCCTAAGGCCTGCAGCACCACAAGCAAGTACCACTCATCAGGAATTCAGTTGGAAACTCACACTCACACCTAATTTTTTAAATAGGTTTTCACCTATTTAATACTTCACTTATCAAACTTCATTTCTGTGTATCTGTACAACAACAACCAACAACAAATTAGTAATTTTTTTTTTTTCTAAAATAAAAAGAAGCCAATTTGATGACATCTAGAATTCAAACATGCCTGCGAGCTTTAGTCTGTCGTTGCCTCAATTCATCATTTGCAAGCTCTGCAAAATCAAATACAACCAAAACCTTTTTACCAAAGTTGCCCTCATTTATTCCATTTTCTCAAATCTATATTTATCCATATACATATACAGCAGCCAAAGGGAAAAAGAAAGAAACAGGGTCTATGTCTTACCAGGTCTCTGAGAAGGCTTCACTTCACTACCAGGTTTATTTGTACTACTGTCTTTGCTGCAATGAAACCCAAAATAAAAAAGATAAATGACCAAAATACCCTCAGAATCATAATAACAATAAAAACAGACCTTGTAGGAGGCAGTGCAGAGGTCTGGCCAGATGGCCTAGCATGATAAGCACCATCCATTGTGATATAAGGTGAACAATATGTCGCCCCTAAAGCTCCTGCAGCACCTAAAGCTCCAGCAGCACCAGCCAAAACAGGTAACCTACAACATCATTTTATCCATTTACTCACTTAACTATTATTATCTTAAATATTTATTTGTTTATACATAATACTAAAAGTACCATGTCATTTCTGAATTCCCCATTCCATTGGGCTGAGCAACATAGCCAGGGAATGCCATGCCAACAGCAGGAACTCCAAGCCCACCAGGATGCTGCCCCGCAAATTGCATAACTGCAAATTTAATAACAGATTAGACACCATAAAAATTTAACATTTTTTTTAATTACCAAAATAGCCCTTGGCTTTACCTGGCAAAAACGTTGGAGCACCAGGGAAATTCTGATCACCATGATAAGAAAATGAGCTCATACCCGTTGTCTGAAGACTGCCTTTTCCTTTTCCATTTCCATTTCCATTTCCAACCAATGCTGTTTTAGAATTATCATTACTTTCTGTAGGAGATTCCATTTCTGCAGATTCTTTAGGTGGTGGGGAAGAAGCACGGGACCCACTAGCAGAACGCTGACCGGGATTTTGCAGATTGGGGTTAAGCTGGTTAAGGGCAGGAGCTCGTTGGAAAGAATGAACTTGGTTTGGAGAAGAAACCCGGTTTACTTGGTGATGAGGTGGCACTGGCACAGGTTGATATACTTGCCCAAAAGAAACTGGGCCTGGGCCTCTCACCTCGGCCCTTTGGGTAGGATTGATGAAAGAGGGACCAGAATCATCAATATAAAGCTTCTCCATGTTTAAAGAATCAGAAACATTTCTTCCTCGCATGTTATTATTGGATTGTGAAACTGGATAATTTTCACGCTTATTAATCGATCCAGTTTGAGCATCTTTTTTCTGATTCATGTTGGTTTCTTTATTTCCAGAAGGGTAAAATGGAGGAGAAGCAGAATTCAAATTAGATGCCAGAACGTTTTTCCTAGCTGGAGCTTGAGTGGATTCTGATGCTGATGTGGCAGCAGATGTTCTTCCTGAATTTGCATGCCCAGTCTTCTCCATTGACTTTGCAGGTCTGAAATTATTTAGCAATAAAAAATATAAGTAATGGTGAAAAAAAAAAAAAAAACAGAATATTTTCTACTCAGTACTCACTGTCTGTTTTGTGAAGAAGCTTCAAAATTGTTTTGTGAAGTAGGTTGATATTTTCTAGGGCCTCGACCTCTCACAGGTCTGGATGAATTATTTTGATTGTTGTTGTATGTTTTAGGTCTGTTTCCTGATACAAAATTACGATCTTCTCCTCGGTTTCTACCACGGGTGCCTCGATTACGACCCCTGGGAGCTCTCCTACCCTGATAATAGAATGTATATTAAAACAAAAGAAAGTGCAGAAAAAAGGGAGGGTGTATTTTATATATCATAAGATGCATTGATCTTCTAGAAACAACACTTAACCTCATCATAATGCCTTTCTTGCATAGACATTTCCTCGAATTTATCATGTCCCCATTTTCTGTCATCTCTTAATTCCCACAGTTTCCTCCCGCCAAGTGTCCGCCTATAACATCACATTGTATAAATTAGTGTAAATATTGATCCGATTCACAGACTGATAACCATGATATGATTTATCTTACTTTTAAATTTCATTAAGATCTAGTGATGGGATTCAAGTCAAGAATGATCTTATTTAGTTGCTTTTTTGTAGCTTAAAGTAATTGTTAGTTATAATGAAAAAAAAGTAACCCATTCGTCACTAACATGTCAAATATGAACTATTTGGGGACATGTGGAGTGTTGGTTGACGAATAAATAAGAAAATAGTTGACGATATTTGAATGATAAAAAATAGCAACGACCAGGATATGCCATGCAAATGTCCTGCTTCCCCCAAGTATCAAAGTGTTTCCAAACCTTGCCCTATTGTAAAAGACCCATTCCTATAAAATTCATGAGACCATTAAAGATGTTTATTTTTTTCAAAATACTCAGGTTACTTCAAGTAAAATCCCTTGTAAATGTTGATGCCTATCAAAAACCCTAAAGGGCAGAAGAACTAAAAGACTTATTAGACAACTTCTGTTGCAATTATAATTTAGCAAGAACAGAAACCAGAAATTCTATATTTTGAAATCCCCTTTGCACAATTCTTGTGTATTTCTCATAGAATTTATGATATTGTGAAAGAATTGGTCAAAAGTTCGTGCCATTGCACTTAAATGCAGTTTTCCTTCAACACCAAACAGAAAAGGCACATCTTTGAGACAATGAGACTGACTAAACTAAAACGAAAAACCATTTGAAGAATCATTCCCTTAGTCATAACATCGATTAGAACTGAAATACCAACTAGAAGAAACAAAATCAAGTGCAAAAATACCTGTGTCTACCACCAGAACTGTCTCTGAACCGGTCATCGTGCATGTAAAATGCTCCAGCCGTTGGCACTTGGAATGGCTCGTTCTCCTTCTTTTCTTCCGGCCCTCCATCTCCCTCTCCCTCTCCCTCTCCTTCTCCCACTGTTCCATTCGCATTGTCATCAAACTGATCAACACTCTCAGGTGCATAAAACCCATCCCCATCTGTTTGATCGTTCTCCCTTTTGACTCCCACAGAATTCCCCTCGATAACACCATCCAAGTCCTCCCTCACACCTTGAACTTCACTCCGAACCCGTCCTTGTACAAGCTGTTCGTCTTCAACTTCCTCAAGCAACTCTTCCTCATCCGCTAAATCATATTCTTCATCATCATACTCCGCCGCAGCACCCTGATCGTCCGATTCATAATCTGAAACCCTAGAGTCAATTACCCTTACCCTTCCCCTAACCCTCACATCATCGTCATCATCCACTTCCTCCTCATCGTCACTCGCCTCCCTCCTCCTCCGCATCGTCAGAGATAGCTTCGCCTGCTCTGGATCACTCTCATACTCCTCTTCTTCACCCACATCCGCCATTTGAACTCACAACAGCCCCAATAACAAAAACCCTAACCACAATTAAGACACCAAACCAGATCAGAACATCCAAATATTCCCCCGTAAATCAACAACAACAGCAATGGACAAGAAATCAAAAGTAACAAGTGTCCGGCTGGGGTGTAGACTTGTAGGTAGAATATCTAAATTTCTAGGGCACCTATTTGGGTGGAAAATTGAGAGTAGAAGATAAGGGGGCGGTAGATATATAGAAAGAAGCGATAAAACGGTAAACAAGTCCCTCAACCCTTTCAAAATTATCACATTAGACCTTCGTAAAATATATATTTTCATTAAACTTCTTATAATTTGTTAATAATACTACTAACTCGATTAATTTAAGTTTTAATCGTGGTTATCCACTAATAATATTTGGATAAAATGATTCTGATGACGATAAAATAATTTCTTAAGATTATATATTCAATTTTGGATAACTAATTTCTAGCAAATTAACAATATAATAATCTAAGCAAGACTAGAATTACTTTTGTATAGATTTTTTGAATTTTCAAAAATGCTTCACTAATCTTTATCGCTGTTAATTAATGAATATATACTGAAAAGGAATTTTAATGAAAGTTTTATTTATATATAAATTTGACAAATTTTACAATTGATTTTCATGGTTTGCAAAATTGAGAACAACTATTAGAACCACTACATATATATGTGTGGTTTTTATTTTGTTGTACACTTGTACGGTTGATCATCCATATCCATGCATTGAATCAAACATTTGAGTTGTTGTTTTTCTATTAATAACAAATATGCCTTTTGAACGGATATGAAAACTACAATACATAGGCATTCTCCATGATTTAAGTTTCTTTTATGGTTGGTTCTAATACATAGGCATTCTCCATTATTTAAGTTTCTTTTATGGTTGGTTCTAATATATGTAAGTTGACTTTATTATCTTTTAAATTATTTTAGAGAAAAATGCAAAAATGTTTTTTGGATTCGGTAAAAAAAAAGTTCAACTTCCACCGATGGTCCAAAACGATATATTTTCTGTGGTTTTAGTCTTTATCATACAAGAAATGACTTTTGTATCCTTTTAATTCTTTTTATATTTATATAACATTTTTATAACTATAAAAGAATAAAATTTGGACCCCACACCTCCACCGTACCCCCCCCCCCCCCGTCTTTCTCCTTCCTTTTTTCCCAAACGCGGAGCTAAAAAAATACATCTTCTCAAGCCTAGATTTTGGGGGAAATTGGTTAAAATAAATTTCTTAATAATGGTATGAGAAGAAAGGGGGTGGTGAGATGATTCACCTTCTTTAAATATGTGTAGGTTATGGTGATTTTTCTTGGTGAGAGTGATGATGAATACAAACACAAACAAATGCATCATCTTCTTCATATGGGTTCACCTTCTTCACATAGTAGTAGACGATGAACACAAACACACACAAATCAACTTCCGGGGTTTGTTCACAAATCGATTTATGGGTTTTGAAAGGGCTCGCAATGAACACAAACATACATAAATCGATTTTGTTTATGGGTTCATTGATTTTGTTTCTAGGTTCATGGGTATCTATGTATTTTGTTTCAAAAGCGAGTAATGGAGTAAGAGAGGGTCTAGGGTTTGGTATGAGTTGCGACGTTTATTATTGTGTGTGTGTGTTGAATCTAAAAGTCATTGATTTACACGTGTTTGTTCATCATTGTGTGTGTGCGCGTTGAATCTGAAAGCGATCGATTCGCAGGTATTTGTTCATCCTTATGTATGTGTTGAATCTGAACCCCAATCAACGAGGATGACGAGGATCTACAATTTTTCATCTTCTTGATGTGTACTATAGAGTGGGGGTACGGTGTGTGGGTGTGGTGTTAGATAATTATGGGACCACATCATATATATTTAATGTTATCATTAAATACAATTATTATGGTAAGAATATAAATTGTTGATGGACCAATTTATAGAATATTTACTTACCTTGTGGGTTGAGTTCCCGGTTTTGACTCAAGATCCTCAAGATCCCTTCCATCTCTTACATTAGGGTATATCTCCATCTATATATACATGTAATAAGGAGCAGATCAAGACACACGAAATACACATGTAAATTCGTTTAGGGTTTGTTGAGGGATTTTAGAGAGAGCTCTTGAGATCAACTGGAAAACTCAACCCTAGTTCTTCAGACCTGAAGATCATAATGAAATCAGGTATGTAATCGTTTTTTCATGTTTGAGTTTTCTTTTAATCAGATTCAAGATTAAAGATCCAAAGTTTATGCTTCTGCGTTTATGTTTTGGTTATCAAAAATAACCAACAATTGGTATCAGAGCCAGCTCGAATTTGTTACTAGAAATCTTGTTAATGGTTGGTTTCAAACCAAAAGCTCGGACTGCCGATCCGTAAAATCCTCGCGCTAACAATATCAAATAACACCCAATAAATAATTAGTCCTTAACCCACAACTGGAAACCTAGTCCGACTGCCCAATACTTAAGGTAAAAGTCCATTTATCCTTTCCTCACTTGGCCCAAAAATCCAAAGCCCAAACCAATAACATTAAAAGCCAAATATGGCCCAATATCCAAATTAGGCCTAGAACCCAACATATTCCTAAATCAAGAAGGCCCAATATCCTAAAAGGCCCAAAATATCCATTGGTCAACCCTGGTCAAACTTATGGTCAATGGTAAAAGGTCAAAAAGTCAGCAATTCAAGGAAGTCCATACAGACTAAGTGCGCCATGCGTACTTAGTTGGTACGTCCAACGTACTATGGATTTTGACCAGCCCACGGGGGTGCTGACCCAGTACGTGTTGCGTACCAGGAGGTACGCCCCGCGTACGCTGCATGCTCTTAAACCATATAGAAAAGGTCTTAAACCTTTAAGCCAAAACGTTCAATGCTCATAACTAGATCCAAATCATGTCTCAACCTATAAAGTCGTTAACTTTGAGCTTTTGCATGGCTCAATAGGTCCCGAATCCAAGCCCTAACTTTACAACTTCAACAAGGAGATAATACACATGCATGGGTTGATATCAATCATGAAAATTACATTTTTATGCATTTGGGACCCCTAAAACGTCCAGATCTAGTGACCAAACTTTTGGAGCAACTCTTTCTCATAGGGACAAACCAAAGGGACCAAATTATGCTACAAATCACTCAAAACTAGATCTACTCAAGGAGATGTCAAGACAAGAGCTTTTTACCTTCAATAGGTTGCAAAAGAGGTGTAACTTCTGGATCTCCAAGCTCCACTCCAAGCGATGATTCTTCAACAACCTTCAATCTCTTCAAAATGCTCAAGAACACACCAAGATTCATCACAAGAGCTTAAGAACTCAAAGATGGTGCCTAAGGGGTCGAGATTAGGGTTCAGGAGGTATGGAGGCTAATAAAAGGCAAGGCCCCAAGAACATAATGAGCTTAAATAGGGGTAAGACCCTAAAACTTAGGGTTTATAGTTGAAGGGAGTACGCCCTGCGTACTCCTGAGTACGCCCGACATACTCAGATGACATTCGTGATCATATCTTCCACTACGCCCTGCATACTCAATGAGTACCCCCCCCCCCCCAGCGTACTAGACAAAGCTCCAAAACACTTAAACTTCGATCGACCATAACTCCTTCTTTCTAAGTTCATTTTCGACGTTATATATATCTACGGAAAGGTAAAGAGAAGCTCCGCCATTCTATCAACTCTTCTTTGTTTGAAAACTTCCCAAACTTAAACCCAAAATTCATAAAGGCCCGAACTGTCAAATCACGGTTATACCCTTGGGCTCTGAAACACAATCAAACACTCGGATCACCTAATCTATAATGCCCACATCCAAAAAGGTCTAATTATATCTTCCCCTAAGGCCTGAAGCCTATGATAATTGATAATTAGGTCACGGCCCCGAATAATGAAGTGATTCGAAACTGGGTGTTACAATTTTGGTCGTGGAAGGGGCAAAATGGTCTTTTGCTCAAATTGTGGATTAGACTTGGCATGGGACTAGTTGAGTTTGGATAATTAACTTAATTGCTAATTAGGGTTATTTGGTGCGAATAAAAGACAGAGTCTAGTTCCGGCAGTTTGGGTGTGAGTTTTCTTAGTCTTTTGTGCGAGGCGAGTCTTCTCACTATACTTGCCTGTGTGGTAGAATATATATATATATATATATATATATATATATATATATATATATATATATATATATATATATATTATATGTTGACCAGCTGGGTCTATTTGTTGATACTGTGATATGTGTTGTTGTGTGTGCTGAGACTTCGAATAGTCTCCAGGGTTGTTGATAACCCACATGGCGTGTTGTTTGTCCACATAGACTTTGGGTAGTTTTTAGGGTTGTTGATAACCTATATTTGTTTATTTGTGTTGTATTGTATGTGGTATTTTGGGGAACTTACTAAGCTTCGCGCTTACGGTTGTTGATTACATGTGTTTCAGGTACTTCTGATGAGCGCAGGAAGACGAAGGCTTGATTGTATACATTTGTCGGCTGATTATGATTCCGAATATTTTGGGACACTCTGATATTATGATGATGATTTGTATTTGATACTTGTGATTTTTCTGTTGATGAGTTTTTATGAACAATATTTTTAGTTAATTAAAAAGGAAAAATTTGGTTTGAAAATTGGATGTTACATATTAATAAGTTAATATTATAAAAATGTAAATAATAATAATAATAATAATAATAATAATAAAGAGTATAATAGTCATTTTAGGTATGGCAGGGACTAAATCATAAGGATCAAACACTTGACAATTTTCATATTATCCTCAACATGGTATATTTTGCAAACCATATGGACTAGAGCTGACAAAAATTGACCCAACCCACCAACCCAACCCAAAATTAGTAGGTTGGGTTGAGATTTTCAACCCTTTTATATTAAATGGGTCAACCCGTCTAACACATTCAATTAAATAGGTTGGGTCGGGTAAAAATTATCAACCCGTTTTCAACCCACCAACCTATTTAACTTTAATTTATATTAAATTTAATAATTATTTAAATATAATCATGTATTAATCTAAGTATTAGTTTACAAATTACAACGTTTGTATTATTATTTATGTTTTAAAAAAATGGAATCCTAATTCCTACATTTCTTCTTGGCACGGACAACACTAGTCACCCTAAAAAAGTCACTTAGAAATTACATATTTTAATGTTATTTGAACAATTTCTTTG